CTAGAAACTCCTGAGATGAACGAATCAAGAACCCATTATGCAACAAATACGCAGTAGAAAATGGAGATGGATCGAAAACACACCGAAGAGGAGATCGTTCGGTAACATCATGATACAAGTTGTTGAGTGGAAAGCGTATTGGAAACGATGAGTTGGGCTTTAGTCCGACAGTGATATGAAAGCGATCGTGTGAAGAAAGTACGGAACCTTTTGAGGAATCATGGAGCCAGCCAAAAATGGTTCAGAGAACAGGATGAACTGGAGATATGATGCTGAAGCTCTTCCCTTTGAAGTCTAAGGGAATAAAAACAAAGTCTTTAGGTGGAAAAGGAAACCATAGACTTAAGTGAATAATTATGTTGTTAAATGATTTGTCTTCAATTATAAAATTTTCTTTAACTATCAACCTACTTATAAATGTTTAAGTAGTCAACAGTTTGTACTATAATAAGCTTTGAAATGAATCAAAACCAGAGAATGGGAAAACATGGTGAACAACATATGACGCCAAGCTTGAAAGTTATTATTATTATTATTATTAGTGTATCCTTTAGTTCCTAGAGGAACATAGGGCTTCAGCTGTACGTCTCCATTGCCTTCAGTTTTCTGCCAACGTTTTCACCCCGCTCCAAGTCTGTCCACACGCTTTCGTCTCCTCCTCACATGACCACTTCCAAGTCACCCTCGTACTGACGATCAACTCGCCGCTTCCCTTTCGGGTTCCACTCGAGGGCTTATCTAGTGATGTTATTTGATGGTTTCTTCATAGTATGGCCAATCCACCTCCACTTCCTCCGGCTTATTTGTTTCACAATCGGTTCCTAGTTGGTTCGCCCCAGAGATCCCTGTTCCTGGTCTTTTCTGGCCGGCCATCTGATCTTGAGTATTGAGCGAAGACAACTGTTAATGAAGGTCTGTAGTTTGTTTGGGATGCTCTTTATGACGCGCTGGTTAGGTCTCTGATCCATATAGTAGTACTGACTGACTTCACATTGGAGTTGAAAATCCGGATGGATCTTATTTTTGATGCTGAGTGATGTTGACTTCCACACAGACTTGAGAGTAATGAAAGCTTGTCTTGCTTTCCCGATCCTTGCTTTGATATCCTCGTCAGTTCCCCTGGCCTGTAGTTGAAACAATGCTTCCCAGGTAGGTGGGTAGGTAAAGGAGGTTGTTTCTCTCAGGTTCCTCCCATTTATGCTGGCTGATTGTTGTCTGTTGTTGTTTCAGTGGCTGTTCGTGTTGGCCAGGAATCTTCATCACCTCTGTTTTATCTATGTTCACCTGAAGTCCTATCTTCTCTGGGTGCTTCTTCTGCCAACTTGTTGCTTTTCACTTGCATATCTTCCAGTTTGTGGGAAATCAGACATATATATGTCATCGGCGAAGTCCAGATCCTCCAAGTCTTTTGTGTCAGTCCATTTTATGCCTGTTTCCTCATTGGAAAAATCATTGGTGATAGTAGACAGCCTTGCCTCACTCCCGTCCTCACTTCGAAGGCTTCCGTAAGTTTCCCGTTGTGGATTACTTGGCATGCAGCATTGTCGTATAGCTGTTGGATGAGATGTATAATTGTCGATGGGACCCCGTAGTAGCGAAGTAGTTTCCAAATGACCTCTCGATCGACGCTGTCGAATGCCTTTTCAAAGTCGATGAACTTGAGATAGACAGGTAACTGCCATTCCAAGCTTTGTTCAATGATGATCCGTAGAGTGGCAATTTGATCAATACATGATTTTTTCCTCCTGAATCCGGCCTGTTCCGGTCGAAATTTTTGATCCAAGGCTTGTTTGATTCTCTCCAGAATGATGCGACTTAGTATTTTGCTTGGAATGGACAGAAGCATAATTCCACACCAGTTTTTACATTGACTTCAGTCTCCTTCCTTTGGTAGTTTGAATAAGTATCCGTGTCAATCATACAATGTTATGCACCCACAAACAACGTAGACCTCGAAAAGAGAGAAGAACTCTACAAACAACTACAGGCAACAATGGACAATACTCCAGCTGATGACATTAAAATACTAATGGGAGACATGGACGCCAAACTGGGACCAGTCAATACAGGAAGGGAACTCATCATGGGTAGAGAAGCTCTCGGAGAAATGAATGAAAACGGAGAAGTCTACGCCGACTTCTGCGCCTTCAAGCTTGAAAGTTATATTACATGGTAATTGACAACCTTCGATGGTGTAGTGTAGCCTGAATAACTTTAAAAGAAAATAGATGGACTGAGAATAAACATTCATTAAGTGTCGGTAAAAAGATTGCAGTGTCACCATGTAATTAATGAGCTTTTCAATATTTTCACGAGACGATTTCAGAATTTCTACAGGAAAAACTAGTAAGGCAAGTGATTCAAATCATCTGGAAGGTATTTCAGAGTGAAAATTTATGTAAAAATCTTCAAAAAGAAACTATTCTTTGTGGTAACGTAAATACCAGGGTTTAAAACCCATTTCTCGTTCTCCAGGAATTGATTGATGATATCAACTTATTACAAGCACCTAATTACTAAGCAGGAGACACAAATAAAACAACGACTCTAGAATCGACAATAACCTGCGACTCGCCCAGAAATACTACTACCACCAACAGCACGCACAGGACTGTCTGACCGTGGATACCAATCCTCCAAAGAAAGCAGAAATCCTGAATGAGATCAAGTTACTGAAATTCGGCCAGGAGCCTTCCTAGCAAGATGGCATTCCCTCCGAGGAACTTAAAACGGGCCCAGAGATTTTTGTAGATGTGTTCATGCTACTAATGCAAAATGTTTGGAAGGAAGGAAAGGTACCTATTGATTAGAAGAAGGGCTGGTGACCTTGTCAAGCTACCACAGAAGAGCGACCTAAATAGGCGTGTGCAACAACTGGCGAGGAATAGAGCACTACTCCACGCCAAGTGAAATACTGAGTTGTGTCATCCTGGAGAGAATGAAATATGCACAGGATGCAGAACTCCGACACTCACCGGAACAATCTAGATTCAGGAAAGGCGAATCATGCGCTGATCAAATCGCAACTCTACGCATCGTCGTCACAGAACAACACATAGAATGGCAGCCAAACCTCTACCTCAACATCCTTAACAACTTCGAAAATGCCTCCAAAATACAGCGTTGACCGACCGATACGTAATACTTCAACACTATGGAGTGCAGTGCCGAAGTCTATCTTTGTCAACCTCATTCAACAGCTGGCTATATGACAATGGCATGTGTCAAGTGATCCACAACGAAAAATTCATCGAAGAGGCTGAACTAAATACATAAGTAAGACAAGGCTGTCCCCCTATTATCACCAAAGGTATTCCCAATTATGGTGCACTGGATTATGTATCAGACTATGCACAGAGAGCGAGGAGACAGGAACACGCCAACTTTAAATGACCAGGATTTCGCAAATGACCTATGTTTCATGCTGCACAAACTCGAAGACTTGCACCCGAAAACCAACAAACTGACTGAAGAAGCAACAAAGACAGGACTTCAAATGAACACAGGTGATGAAGATAACCAACCGACCAACCAACAGAGAAAAACTAACCAGCAACAATCGCTATCAACAGAAACTTGAAAGAAGTCGCTTCACTTTTCTAAGAAGCACGGTTCCAACCACAAGCAGTCGGAACGGATGAACATATCGAAGTCACTCAGCCATCCAGAATCGGAAAGGCAAGATACACATTCGTCAATCTTAAACCAGTTCGGAAATCTTCACTAACTCAGCATAAAGGACAAGATTTGGATTTCCAACACAAGTGTAAAGTCAGTCAGTCAGTCAGTTCTTCTATACGGATCAGAAACTTGCAGTGTGCGTCACGAAAGCGATTTCCAAGAAGCCACTTCAGATTTGCATCAACAGCTACTCACTTCACTGGCTGGCTCCATAGTGAAGATCAAATGACTAGCCTGTCAGCCAGCCGGCCAGAAAGAATTAGCAACAAGAAACTCTGGTCGGCTGGCTGGGAACAAACCAAAAGGCGAAAGTCGATCGCTCAACAAACATGTAGGAGAAAATGTAGATGGATCAAGCATACGTTGAGGAGCTCGTCGAGTGACATCGCGCTCAATGCAGGCCATCGCTTGAGTGGGGTTCCAATAGGTGGTAATAAGCGGGTCATCAGTGTGAGAGTGACATGGAGGCGACCGTGTAGCGAGTTGGAGGTGACAAGAGATTACGGTCAATCGTCGACCCAGCTGAAGAGGACGGCATAAAATAAAACAGAGTAGAGATATGTTGTTGAATCCGTATGTTCCACTCGGAGCCTAACGTAATAATAACAATAATACAATTAGTCATGAAGTATTATTAGTATACATTGTATGTTATTTTCCAAGTATATCTTTTTCAAGTTATTCGAAACAATGACTGCTGGGCTGGAGTCTCCCTGGGAACACTATCACTTTACACCCATATGATGAGTCCCAGAGAGGACGAAATGCGTATCTTGGATACCACTGCCCACCATATGATTTCTTAATAATGCTATTTTTGTACATTCCCTTCAAATAATTGCATCAGATCTGTTGGTAAGCCGTTGAAACACACAAGATTATTATTAATGGGTGCGTACTGTTGAAGAGTCCTAAACAAGGACTAAACAACTGTCTAGTCCATCATTCTGGTTTTCAATAGTTGATATGTATCCACATGGTGCGTGTTTTGTTTTTGACAGTCTATTATATTTTGCTGTGTATATGGATCGATATTTCATTATAACTGACAATATGCTTTTGTCTGTCCACTAACTAAATAAACATGTATGACCTTGTTGTCACATGACATTGCAACCAATCATGTTAAGACTGCCTATTTATTGTTTCATGTGTATTAGTCATTTTCATATATACTTTTGTACTGTATACTTGTACATACTTGTTCCCACGAAATTTCGTACACTACGTACCATTTCACTCACACTCTTGTGTGACATTTATTTTCCTTGTCTGGGAAAATACAAGTATCATCGTAAACCTGGTGGTCTTCTGATTTTCCTCTTTCCGCGTCAGGACTATTAACTACTCGATGGGTACATAACAATACTTCTCTAACCGATATCACTTCGTGAATAATCTTGGAATGCAAGCCAAAACTCCTCAGCCAAAATCAAAATAGTTCAACTCTATATAATTACACTTTTTTATTCATATAGTACTGATTTCTTGAATAGTAGTGAAACCAAACAAAAAACACCAGCATGAATAAGATGCAGAGTGTTACACACATCGATATAATATAATCACTGCTGAATGTTTGAACAGATGAATGAATGAAAAGCAACAAACCCTTTAGAGCAAGACAAATCAGTCTCCATTTTTCTTCTCTTTCTTTTTTACATAAATATTACACACAGAATTTACATAATCACTTCATCCTTCTCAAACTTCACGCCTTTTTTTCTGGAAGTGGAAATTGCGGTGGGTATGTGGGCAAGAAAAGAAAAACACCAAAGGAAAATAAGGGTAGTTTTAAAAAAAGAATCCATGCGAATGAATGCAACAGGGAGTATAAACGAGTTCGTTAGTGTGTGTGTGTTTGTGTGTGTGTGTAAATGTGTGAGCGAGAGATAAAATGAAAAAGAATGAAACACAAATAAAGCCGAAATAAAGCCAAAGAGAGTACTTTTCATTTTGTCAGTCATCTATCATTTTCTCAGCAAAAAAACATACATCCTCCGCCTTCTTCACCTCTCTAACCGAATTGTAGATAATCTACATTTTGTTTACATTTGTTTCAGGGAATATTGAGAACTGAAAATTTCCTGTGATATAACAGACACACCCATCCACACACACCCAGACAAACACGCATACAAACAACTAGAACACTGAACTCAAAGGTGAACTACTCATGAACAAACAAATAATAATCACAACTAAGCAACAACAAAAAATTAATTAAAAAATAAGATATTCCTCAAATTGTAAACTGTTGAAATATGAGAGTGAATCAATCCAGTCACTTCAAGTTATTAAGTTGACGATGCTCACACACGCACGCGCAAGAATGGTTTGCATTCATTCAAAACACACTGTGAGCAAGGCGAGCATATAATAATCGGTGCAATCAAATATGGCGTCACATTTAGGGTGATAAATCGATAATGTATGTGTGTACCAAGGGAAAATTACAATATCAATTAGAAAAATAACAGTAATAACAATAATAATAATGAATAAACAACAAATGAAAGTCATTATGTCTAGTTAGTAATTGTATATCAGTTTGTGTGTGTCTGTGTGTGGTATAGACAAGAATACGTTGACCACATTGTACTTTATGACATCACTCACCTCTTTATCACAAACAAGTTTAATTATGAATAATGATCAAAATGTCAATGTTTACTTCGTGTGTGTGTGGCTGTGTGTGAGTGTGTGCATGAATGAGATAAACAAACAAGCCAACGAACAGACGATAAACACAGACACATAGTGTTCATGAATAATATTATTGTGAATAGATGATAAATGGGTCAACCTATGCAGTCTTCACATTTACATCAGTTAGTAATAGATCATCGCCATCCTCGCCAGAATCATCCCTCGCTGTTGTTGTTGTTGTCGTTGTTGAAGTTGGATTTGGAGTTGATGATGTAACCGTTATAGTTGAGACATTTGGTGCTAATGTCGACATATTTTGAGGAGATGAAGATCCAACACCCTTGACTTCATTACTATCAGTTGGTTGTACTGATGACGATGGTGATGATGACAATGAATGTGGACTGGTAGATTTTATTACATTAGGCAATAAATGACTCGATGAAGTTGAAGATGAGATATTCATTGTCGCATTGCAATTATTATCATTATTATTACATAGACTTTCAGATTCAAAAGCTGGTGGACTAGAATTCGAACGACCTGACGATGATGATGATTTAACATCAACTAGCTCATCATCTTCATCATCTAAACAAAAGTCAATAAAAACAATGAGCAGTGAATAGTGGTATAGCAAATAAACTAGTCGAGTACTACGGTGTACCCCAAATATTCATCAACCTTATTCAACAGCTGTACGACAACTGAACATGTCAAGTGATCCACAACGGAAAACTCAGCGAGGCGTTTGGAATAAACACAGGAGTCAGACAAGGGTGCTTATTATCAACAATGAATGATATTCCTAATTGTGGTGGACTGGATTATGCGTCAGACAGTGGGAAACCCTCGACAAGACAGGGATATCCTGGACCGACCGACGTGAAGAACCTAGAAGACCTAGATTTCGCGCCTGGATGATTTATGTTTGATGTCACACAAAATCGAAGATTTACAAGCGAAAACCAACAAACTGGTCGAAGAAGCAGCTGGCGAAGACAGGACTCCAGGTGAACATAGACAAGACGGAGGTGATGAAAATAATCAACCAAACAACAACAACAACAGCAACATCCAGCGCCAATCACCCACCATCAACGGGAGGGATTTGAAAGAGGTCACTTCATTCACTCACTTATCTAGGGAGCATTGCCTCAACTACACGCCAGAGGAACGGACGAGGATGTCCAATCGAGCGAGAATCAGGAAGGCGAGAAACACATTCATCAATCTGAAATCAATCTGGAAATCTTCGTCACTCAGCCAACATCGACAACAAAATCCAGTCGGATTTTCAATATAAACGTCAAGTCAGTCAGTTCTTCTATACGGATCAGAAACTTGGCGGGAGGGTCACAAAGAATATTTCCAACAGCCTGTTGCAGACCTTCATCAACAACTGTCTTCGCTCTATACTGAAGATCAGATGGCCAGGCCGGAAAAAATAACCAACAAGAAACTATGGCTGGGAACAAACAAAACAAGAAGCAATCGCCAACCAACAAATATGCAGGAGAAAGTGGAGATGGATTGGACACTCGTTGAGGAGGCCGCTGGGTGACATCGCGCGCGCGTCAGGCCATTGCTCATGTGAGACTCGAAAGGGAAGCGACGAGTGGGACGTCAATGCAAGAGTGACATGGAGGAGATCGTGTGAAGAGGAGTTGAAAGATTATGGACTAACATGGATACAGGTGAAAAGTACAGCAGAAGACAGAAGCAAGTGGAAACGTGCAGTTGAAGCCCTATGTTCAACTAGGAACCCAAGGGAGCAATAATAATAATAGCAAATAAAGGAGAGACTGACTGGTTGACTGACTTCCAATGCAGATATTTGCACAGAAGATAGAAAAAAAATAATTACGTGAAAAAAAATATGACGGTTTAATCGACCTGAAAGGCTACACAGACAATGAATGTATCTACAATAGTGAAAACGATTCTGAGCTACATTACCAACTGTCTCCAGCGGTCATTGGCTCTTAGATAAAATCCAATCAGCTACGCAGTCTATACCTCCCTACTTGGATGGTCCAAACTAACTGTCAAAGATTTCGTGGACTGATGATAGCTTTTTTTGGTTTGAATTACTCTACCCTCTTTTCCAACCTAACATTTCTCATCGAAGGAGGCGATGGCTAGGTATGCATGCGTGATACATGTTCTAACCATCTCAATCGATGCAGCTGCTGCTTCATAACCTCATCGATTGATTTCCACTCGCCTCCTTACCCATCCAGCACTCGACGCCTAACCTCAATATTCCCTCACCTTGTTATACCACTTAACATGGTAGATAGGACGCATGCACCTATGATCAAAGACGGCCGGCTAGCCAGCCTTTTTATGTCTTCCACTTTCAACGGCCACGCTTCGCTTCACAGTCATAAAGGAAAACAGAGTGAACTGTTGAGCAGTACACACGCCCTTTGGTATACAGCAGGATTTCACGTCTACAAACAACAGAGATGGCTGACATGAAGGAGACGAGAGCTTATGAACATTCATGGAACCACAGGAATGTGTACTGATGAAGAGTGTGAAACTACAACGAAACAGTTGTTGAGTTTTTCAGTGGTTCTCTAATTGACTTTTCAGATCATCATCGAACTTGAAATGATGGAGCAAGCTAAATACGATGTGGTGTTTGAAGGCCTATGTCCCACTCGGAACTTAATGGTAGTAATAAAATGTCAGCAGGTGAACACAGCAATGGACTGTGCCCACACCAATTGGAGACATTGTTAGTGCATAGTGCTATAAACCCACTCACAAAAATAGCTCATACGGAATTTCAATGTGATCACTGACACAGCTAAAACTAAAATATTGGCCCACAGGATTAAAAACAAAATCCGACGAGGTAAAAGTGTCTGATTTTCATGCGTTGAAAGTTCAAATGAGGACAAATTAGTCAAATAATTATAAATTCAGGTTTACTAGAAATCAATTGATGTGAAAATCATTCACATTATTTACATGAATATTTGTATATTTTTGTCTAGTTTTCTGTAATATATCCAATAACGATAGAACTGTAAAACACTGATTAACTTGCTATGCATAAATAATAAAACTATTTATCAGACATCATCAATGAAACATCGATAGCGTCGATAGCGCAACGGTAGAATACTCACCAGCCACGCTCACATGATCTAGAGGTCGATCCCCAACCGATAAAGTCTTAAACCTCGCTAAACCAGTTGTAAGGCCTAGTAAAGCGGGGATGTTGGGTGTGGGGCCAACAAGCAGTAATTGCTTGCGTCCAATAGTACCAACGAGCAAATAATTCCAAGGTCCGGCAACGTGTTTTTGAAGACAGCGTACGTCACCTTTCATTGAGTGGTATCATCTTGAAACACTGGTTTTCGGGGGCTTAGATAGATGATACGAATGTCATCATCCTAGCCACTTCCCATACCGCCCGCTGTTCGCTAGTCCTGAAGGACTGAATAAGTATGCCGAGGTATGACCAAGAATCGTATTCAACGGTGAACATAATCTAACTTCTTCCTTTCGTCCCTTTCTGGATCACCCCCTTCGTTTATTCTATCTCTATTTCCCTTGCATATTCTGGTTTAACTATTTGTTTTGGTGCGTTTCCTGGTGTCCATAATGTATTCTACAGGAGGGAAAGTGTCAGTTATACAATGCCATGCACCCACAAACAACGTAGACATCGAAAAGAGAGAAGAACTCTACAAACAACTACAGGCAACAATGGACAATACTCCAGCTGATGACATTAAAATACTAATGGGAGACATGGACGCCAAACTGCGACCAGACAACACAGGAAGGAAACTCATCATGGGTAGAGAAGCCCTCGGAGAAATGAATGGAAATAGAGAACTCTTCGCCGACTTCTGCGCCTTCAATGAACTAGTGATTGGTGGAGCATATACAAACACAAAGATATCCACAAGGCCACATAATAAAATAATAATAATTTTTTCTTCACGTTCCCAGTGGAATATAGGGCTTCGAGCTAGTGGCTTGAAGTTTCTGTAGCATTGTTTACTTTTACAGGATGGGTTTGCTAGCCTTATGGAAACCTTTACTCTTTACCAGCATTATTTTCTGGCTTAGCGAAGTGAAGGAGACAAGGCTACATGAGAGAACCAAAACCAAATTGACTTCATCTCAATCTCAAGGAAGTGGAGGCGCAGCCTACTGGACACTAAAGTAACAAGAGGAGCAGATGTTGGCTCAGATCACTATCTCGTACAAGGAACAATCCAAATCAAATTAAAAGCTTTCAGGGAATCAGGAGCTGCAGACAGACCACACGCCAAGTTCAACACTCAAAAGCTGAAGGACCAGGCTACAAAGGACATCTTCATTGCAAGCATAAGGGACAAAGCCGAGACACAAATCAACACCAGCGAAAAGGTCAGCGTCGAAAAGCACTGGAACAACTTGAAAACGGTGTGGAGTCAAACCTGCATAGAAATTCTAGGCAGAAAAAAGAGACAGGACAAACAGTGGCTCACTACGGACACTTGGAAACTAATAGAAGAGAGAAGGACAGTGAAACAAAAGATTATCCAGTGCACTGACGAGCAACAAAAACAGGAGCTGAATGCAAGCTACAATACACTGAACAAAAGAGTAAAGAAGAATGCCAGGGAAAAAGAAAAGAAAATATTATGAAGCCATGGTAAGTGAAGCAGAACAAGCTGCAGGCAAAGGAGACCTCGCCACACACTGCCAAACAACTAGGCACCTATCGGGTAAAAGATCGACAAAGAGTAAACCAGTAAAGGATGACAATGGAAAGTCAATCACCAAAGAAGTGGAGCAAAGAAAACACTGGGTTGAACACTTCATAAGACTTCTAAATCGACCGCCACCTACAACGCACCCAACAATACCAACAGTGGAAGCAGAACTACCAGTGAACATCGACCCTCCGACGAAATCAGAAGTCCTGAATGCAATCAAGATGCTAAAAGCTGGAAAAGCAGCATGACCAGATGGAATCCCAGCAGAAGCTTTGAAAATGGACCCAGAGACAACAGCGGAGTTGATGACGCCATTACTGGAGGTGTGGAAAGATGGCAAAATACCTGAGGATTGGAAGAAACGATACTTATTCAAACTGCCAAAAGCAAAAGCTGGCGCATCTTCCTAGAGAGAATCAAACACGCCAACCTGGATGAGAAACTTCGACTGGAACAGGCCGGATTCAGGAGAAACAAGTCATGTATTGATCAAATCGCCACACTACGGATCATCATTGAACAAAGCTTGGAATGGCAGTCACCTCTCTATCTCAACTTCGTCGACTTTGAAAAGGCATTCGATAGTGCAGCGTCGATCAAGAGGTGATTTGGCAACTACTTAACTACAACGGGGTGCTACTGACAATTATGCAACTCATCCCACAGTTGTACGACAATGCTGCATGCCAAGTAATCCACAACGGGAAACTTACGGAAGCCTTCGAAGTGAGGACGGGAGTGAGGCAAGGCTGTCTACTATCGCCAATGATTTTCCTGATTGCAGTAGATTGGATAATGCCACAGACAACGGCCAATGAGGAAACAGGCATAAAATGGACTCACACAAAAATAGACTTGGAGGATCTGGATTTCGCCGATGACATATATATGTCTGATTTCCCACAAACTGGAAGATATGCAAGTGAAAAGCAACAAGTTGGCAGAAGAAGCATCAAAGATAGGACTTCACGTGAACATAGATAAAACAGAGGTGATGAAGATTCCTAGCCAACACGAACAGCCACTGAAACAACAACAGACAACAATCAGCCAGCATAAGTGGGAGGAACCTGAAAGAAACAACCTCCTTTACCTATCCACCTACCTGGGAAGCATTGTTTCAACTACAGGCCAGCAGAACTGACGAGGATATCAAAGCAAGGATCGGGAAAGCAAGACAAGCTTTCATTACTCTCAAGTCTGTGTGGAAGTCAACATCACTCAGCATCAAAAATAAGATCCATCCGGATTTTCAACTCCAATGTGAAGTCAGTCAGTACTACTATATGGATCAGAGACCTAACCAGCGCGTCATAAAGAGCATCCCAAACAAACTACAGACCTTCATTAACAGTTGTCTTCGCTCAATACTCAAGATCAGATGGCCGGCCAGAAAAGACCAGGAACAGGGATCTCTGGGGCGAACCAATCAGGAACCGATTGTGAAACAAATAAGCAGGAGGAAATGGAGATGGATTGGCCATACTGTGAAGAAACCATCAAATAACATCACTAGATAAGCCCTCGAGTGGAACCCAAAAGGGAAGCGGCGAGTTGGTTATCAGTGCGAGGGTGACTTGGAGGAGGTCATGTGAAGGGGAGATGAAAGCGCGTGAGCAGACTTGGAGAGGGGTGAAAACGTTGGCAGAGGACCGAAAGCAATGGGGACGCGCGGCTGAAGCCCTATGTTCCTCTAGAAATTAAAGGAAATAATAATAAGATAATAATGTACGACGTTTGTTTGTGCTTCACTGTCATCTAATTTTATAAAACAAAAATTAGGAAACGAGAAAATTCCATAATACAACTTTGAACACTGGAGATGAATAACCTTCCCTTTTTCTTCTATAATACTGATGAATAATATCATTAGGAAGAGGGAGAAGTAGCTTTAAATACAGACCCTGAGTGCCCACTGCCGAAGAGTCTTAAACTAGGACGAAACAGGTGTCCATTACACCTTTCCAGTTTCCAATGGCTCCCTATATGATATCAGTCCGTCATCAAACGTCTAAAGCAAACCAAATCTCTGCAAACTAACCCTCAAAATTTTGATCTGATGCTACTTGCTAATGACTGGCTATAGGAAGAAGTAGACTGGAATTCTACTGAGAAGTCCTGACCGACAATGGGGTTCACCCGATCGGGAATGAGATCATCTACTCGCCACCAATGACGGTGGTTGGTGGTTGTGTTAAAACCATAAATTGGTAGATGTTGGAACTCATGGACTGGCCACTGGATCGAGTCCCAGTGGCTAAATAGTCTAAGAGCTCACCTTGCCTTGTGACCCGTAAAGTCCTAGATTCGAACCCTGGTGGTGAGTGTGCACTGCCGAAGAGTTCCAAACCAGGGCGAAACAGTTGGCCAGTACTGCTTAGTGGTTTTCAATGGTTTGATGACATTAGATGATTGGAGGCAATCGGTAGAAAGCCTTGGACCTAGGTTTCGTGGTAGTTGGCACTCGTCAGCAAGGCGTATCTGAAATCTTGAAGGAACTCATGTTCATTCAATGGTGATTCCCTAAATGATATCAATCCGTCATCAAACTTGAAAAGCCAATCAAATCCCTACAAACTGACTATTAAAAATCTAAATAAATCAACTTACCAACTTGAGGAAACGATGATTGTGTTGTTTTAGGATGCCTTGATTCTAGATAAGAATTATGCATACCAGTATCATCATTACAAGTATTACATTCAATTGTACTACTTGTATTGAAGAGTAATGGAGTTCTTTCTTCACCAGCTTCATAATGTCCATTAGACTGTTGAGATTCTACAGACGCCCGTCGATTATCACGATCATGACTATTACGACGTCTGATAAAATTATATAATCGTCTTGGAATAGATGCTAATCGATCATTATCATTCACCACCTCCACATCACTTTCATCAGGCATATCAGGTGCACCTGGTAACTGGACTATTTGATTACATATTGGACAACGTCGACGATTACATAATAGCCAAGGATCTATGCATTTCATATGAAAAGCTAAATAAAAAGGGAGAAATAAACAGAAAAGTAGGATGAAAAAATAGATATGACTACTACCCCCCCGTCCGCCACATTTTTAAGTAAGATGTCTTTTTCGACTGTTAGATTTTCGCCACAAACCAACACATTTTTTTAAATTTTTTATGTTTTATTACAGCTTGATTCCACACTGTATTTTTGGTACAGGTATAGAATTTTCAGCATGTGATATCGGTAGCCTAAATTTTGCAGGCCAACCATAGATATCAGGTGTGCATCGGCAGGGTATCGAACCCCGGACCATGTGCATGGTCGGCGAGAGTCCTAACCGCTGTACTACCGACGCATATCAGCTGACTTTTGACAGCGCTGACCGCAAATTAATTTGGAAACTAATTCAACACCACCGAGTGAATTATCCTAAACCCTAATCAACATCATTCAACAGTTGGTTGGCTATATGACAATGCAACGTGTCAGCTGAGCCACAACGAAAAACTCAATCAAGCGGCTGAAGTGAATACTGGAGTAGGACAAGGTTACCTACTACAATCGACGATATTCTAAAATGTGGTGGACTGAATTATGCAAGAGACTGTGGAGAGTGAGAAGACAGGAATACGCCAGACCACAGATAAAAAGACTCTAGAATATCTGGATTTCGCAGATGATATATATCTCATGTCACACAAACTCGAAGAATGACAGGTGAAAACCAACAAGTTGGTAGAAGAATCAGGTAGAGTAGACAGGATTGCAGGTGAACATGGAGAAGACGGAGAGGGGTGAAAATAACCAACGAATAGCAACAACAACCAGCATCAATTACTATCGACGGGAGAAATTCGAAAGGGGTCACTGCCTGCACTTCACCAGTCAGCATTATATATATATATATATATATATATATATATATATATTGTCACTAGCCAGAAAGAATACACCGCCCTACATGACTGGTTCAAACTAACTATCAAAGCTTAAATGGACTGGTTGCAACTTTCGATTTGATCACCATTAACTCTTTCCCTTACCTAATCCTATGTCAGCTAGCAATTCCCACCAAGGAAGGCGATAGCTCAGAATGCGTAACACGTGTACTAGCCATCTCAATTGATTTAGCTGCACAACCTCATAGATTGACCTACCCCTCTTTACCAAACATTCGATGCATAACCTCATTATTACTCACACGATTATACCATCTAGCACAGGAGATCGAACATAAATATATTTGATCGGCGATAGGTAGCCTTTATATATATATATATATATATATATATATATATAGAGAGAGAGAGAGAGAGAGAGATTTGATCAATCAAAGACTGATATAGTATCGATTTCGGGGTAGATTTCGTCACGATTGATTGATGTAATTGATTATCTTGGTTTTCTGGAAAACAAAAGAGATAGAACAGCTCGAAGTATTTGGTTTTTTTCATTCTTAATATTAAAAGGTGAAGAACACCGTTTTCTGATCAGACTATAAGTTTACAATAGCTAGACACTTTATTTAATTCTCATAAAATGTGTGTATGCGTGTGTGTGTGTCTATACGCGTATATACATGTATTGTTACCACTATCTCTATTCATCAATTGATGCATTTTTTTAACAATCTCAATCAATCCAAAAGTAAAATTAGTCTATACTTGTTATCATGTCAGCATCAATCAATCAATGAATCGATCAATCGACATTGTTTCTTGTCTTCGAAAATCAATTTCAACTTTGAAAATTTCAGGTTACAAATTAAATATATTTGAATTAAATCATATTCATATATATATCTGAATTTTTGATTACACTAGATAAAGATCGATAAATTTTATCACCACACACTCATTATGTAATTGAAAATTAGGTAACGAAGTGAAATCGATCGTCAGAGTACCATTTCAAAATCAAAGGGTATACTAATGTGAACAGCTGCTTCCACTACTTAATGCCACAAATCTTTACCAACCTTATCTAAAAGCTATATGGTGATGACGATGTTACCAGATGTCAAGTGATCCACAAAAGAAAACAGTTAGCGAAATCTCTAACGTGAGGACAAGAGTAAGACAAGACTATCTGCTTACTATCAACAATGATATTCCTATTAGATTGGTTGGACAGGAAGCCTTGACTTGCCTAGGTTTCGGGTTGGTTGGCACTCACTCACCAGTCAGTCAAATTTTCAATATGTCCAACATACTCGAATAGCTTAGTAATAACGTCTCTGACTGCAGAAATGAGTGGCACGGGGGATTCGAACATGAATTTCTCCAAGACTGTATATATGCCTTGTTGACTGGTGTCATGAGTGCCAACTAGCACGGAATCTAGATCAAAGTCTTCTTGCCGAATGCCCTAAGCTATTTTAATATTAATAATTCAAAGTGCACCGTGATGTCAAATCACCTGAAATGGCGGCCAAATTGCAATTCTGGTGGACTAGATTATGCATAAGACAGTAATACTTTGAACCGACAGGAAAACTCTAGAAGATTTGGAATTCCCAAACGATTTATGTCTTATGTTACATAATTTCGAAATCTTACTCACTGATCACCACCACCAACAACAACAACAAGCGCTAATAGCTATCACCGAAAAAAACTTTCAGAGAGGTCACTTCTAGGCAGAATCGTTTCAGCAAAAGAGGATGCTAGAGAACAGGAAAACACAGAGATGTCCTATTGAAGCCCCTTGTTCCACTCGGAACCCAAAGGAACAATAATAATAATAATCAACAGTACACACCTACGTCCCCAATTAGGGTTCAACTAATGACCGTCAGATAACAAAGAAAGCCCCTAAACTGTTTCACCGAGCTTGATAGAATCTAACGCTTCGTGGTCAGTTTGTGACATACAGTGCCAGTATCAACCGATGGTGACTAACTCTATTAGTGACAGTTAATGGTAAGTGTGAAGTCAGATACTCTCCGATGTCAGTGGCTCGTGGTGGAGGTCACCTTCGTAACCCAAAGACCCTAGGTTTGATCCCTAGTGGGATCATTAGTGTGTATTGTTTAGAAATCCCGGAGCACGACAAAACAGCTGTCTGTCCAGTAATCCATGGTCTTGAATGGTTCTATGATTGGTGTCAGTTCGCCATCTAACCTCAAATTAATGAATTCCCTGTAAACTCATACTTGGAAAACTTTTACGAGAATGAAGAAAGGATATCTGTGCAATCTACTTTACGGCCTTTCAAATTTTCTGCACAGAAAGATATTTATTTATTTTTCATTTTATTATTCCCTGGGTTCCAAGTGGAACATAGGGCTTTAACAACATATCTCCACTTTTTTCTACTCTCTACTGTCCTCTTCAGATGGTTGACCCTACGATTGACCATAATTTCTCATCCCCTCTAACTCGCCGCACGATGTCCTCCATGTCACTCTCAATCAACGACCTACTCGTCGCCTCCCATTGAGATTCTACTCAAGCGATGACCTGCATTGACTGCGACGTCATTCGACGGCCTCCTCAAGGAATGTCTGTACCATCTCCATTTTTTCCTACATATTTGTTAAGCGATTGGCTGTCGCCTATTGGTTTATTCCCAGCCAGCCGACCAGAGTTTCTTGTTGCTAATTCTTTCTGGCCGGCTGGCTGACAGGCTAGTCATTTGATCTTCACTATGGAGCCAGCCAGATAAGTGAGCAACTGTTGATGCAAATCTGAAGTGGCTTCTTGGAATTCGCTTTCGTGACGCACACTGCAAGTTTCTGACCCGTATAGAAGAACTGACTGACTGACTGACTTTACACTTGTGTTGAAAATCCAAATCGTGTCCTTTATGCTGAGTTAGTGAAGATTTCCGAACTAGTTTAAGACTGATGAATGTGTATCTTGCCTTTCCGATTCTGGATGGCTGAGTGACTTCGATATGTTCATCCGTTCCGACTGCTTGTGGTTGGAACCGTGCTTCCTAGATAAGTGAAGGAAGTAACCTCCGTCAAATCTCTCCCACTGAAGGTGACCAGGGTGCTAGTTGTTGTTGCTATCGGTGGTGTTCGGTTATCTTCATCACCTCCGTCTCCACCTCCTCTATGTTCACCTAGAGTCCTTTCTTCGTTGCCTGCCTGCTTCCATTGCCAGTTTGTTGGTTTCCGCCTGCAAGTCTTCGAGATTGTGTGACATTAGGCATAAATGATCCACGAGCGGAATCCAGATCTTCTAGAGTCTTGTTGTCGGTCCAAATTATTCCTGTCTTCTCACTCCACATAGTTTGACGCACAATCCAGTCCACCAAAACTTGGAATATCACAGTGATAATAGGCGGACAGCCTTGTCTTACTCTTGTATTCATTTCGAACGCCTCGCTGACAGGATATATATATATATATCACATTTCTTTAGCACGACGAAAAAAGAGGTCAAACTGTATGTCTCAAGAAGCAAACAGTTTGGTTATCACATTACATGACAAACACAAACACCTTTTTGTTGAGAAAATTTCTTATTTTTTATCGATCTCGATAGTATATACTACATATATATATATATATATATATATATATATATATATATATATATATATATATTTTATATGTGGGGGACCGATGAAGTGAATAGGAACTGAATTTTATGAAAGGTGTGAGTGTTTCATCAGCTGAAAGATTATTGACTGCAAAACATTTCACATTCTTGGTCACAATTTTATCATAAGGCACACTGACGAAATGTTAGTCTACCTTGTTTATTATTCACTACATATAGAGTCATGATGCCTTACCTGCATACAACCGTCAATGTTTAGATTATTCGGATATATGCACACACACACACACCTCTATGAATGGACATTAGCCTTTATTTTCATTTTATTCTTTTGCATTCTGAGTGGAACATACGGCTACAAGTTTGAATTTTTAGAAGTAGAGGTGTTATTCCCTTTTTACGCCCAACTTTCCCTCTGTATCGGGCGGCTTACAACTGAATAAACGGGGTTAAGGAGTGAGTCGGTCAGGAATCGAATCCCTGACCAGGTGACAGACATGGTTAGTTCTGTATTGA